GAATCATCACTCTTTCCACATTTAATAAAAATAACAGAATAATTTCTCCATCAATTGATGTGATTCTTATTTGAATGTAGATTCCTGAGGTGCATCCGAACATGCCCTTAATCTATGTCCAAGAGCAAAAATTCAAAAAACAAATTACAACCTTTTCGTAACACCTCGTTGGCCATATCTCATCAAGTGCTATTCATTCATGTTGTGATAGTAGTTAACTCATGCAGAACTTTTGACAAGAAATTCTAAATCCGTAGTACATTTGTAACTTGAAAGCTATGCTGCAATTGCCAAATGAATAGCACATGTACCGTTATTGAAGAATATTATGTACCTTGTAGCAAATATTCGTTTCTTATATAGATTTTGAAATTCTTTATAGACACCCAAACATGAAAAGAATAAAAATATTTGTTTATCTACATCTCCATGCCTGTATTCTCTAAAAGTCCAAAGACAACGACTTGAAAACAAATAAATTATACATTTTTGGTGCCAAAACATACACAGTCAAAATAAAGAGAATTTTATTGTTTAAGACAAAGTAACAAAACCCACAAATTGAATTGGAGTTACCTCAAAATCATCTTGCATCAGAAGAAGTAAAAGAGTCTGCAAAACCAGAAGGTTTGGCTGGTATGCTTCCTTCACTGTGTTCACTTGCATAGCTTGAATCTTTGCCTTCTGATTCCTTCCAAACTTTCAGCAACTGAGGAAGTGGATGACTGAAGTCGATGCCGGAGTTGTAATCAGGTTCTTCGTCCATCGGTCGCCATTTCTCTACTAACGTGGATAGCACATTGACTACGTGGCTCATATCAGGCCTGTGACTTGCTTCCCTGGAAGTGCAATGTCCAGCAAGTTCAGCTACAATGGAAATGCTCTCAAAAGTCTCTTCACTTACTTCAAGAGTTGGATCAATGGCAGCCTTGAGCGCTTCTTTGCACGATTTAATTTGCCAAAACCATTCAACTAGGTATCGGCTTTCCTCCGGCCGGCTCTCGTCAAGGGCCATTAGTCCAGTTAGAAGTTCTACCAACACCACACCGTAGCTGAACACATCAACTTTAGTGGTGATTTTCCCCATAACTACAAATCACATAAACTTTTAGTTGGTGTGGAAAGCTAGATGCATCAAATTATACCAAAGATTTCAACAAGTAATCAGATGCAATCACAACTATATTTAGTCAAGAATTTGACGATCATTTTACTTATAGTGTCTGCAGTATTGAACCCACCGAAGACAAATATAATTAGATATCATTTTCTTGTTAACTGCTTAAAAAAAATGTGTGCAAACACTACTTGCAGAATAGATAAATATAAAACAGAATATTTTAAGTAATTAGGTGCTTTAGGGCTTGATAAAAATAGTTTTATGCTTTTAGCAACTGAAGGAACAGAGCATGCTTAACGACATAGAATATACTATACACGTTACTACAGTACTTATGTACTATTAAATTAATGTGCATATTCCTAAGAAAAGAAAACTTGACCTCTTATACTCGGAAGTCTTTTATTTTAAGAACACCCTAACTGAAACAAACAAACAAACAACTACCGAGAAATCAACATGGTTATACCACTAAAACATGCTTACATGGTCAATTTCAACAACTATTTCAAGGTTAGATGGAATGTACAACAAAAGGCATACCTGCATACTCAGGGGCAAGGTATCCAAATGTTCCAGCAAGCTTTGTTGCCACAGACTTGTCGCCATCTGGTGCAAGTTTCACCAGACCAAAATCAGAAACTTTCGCACGAAAATCATCCCCCAGTAGAATATTAGAAGACTTGAGGTCTCGGTGGATGAAGGTTTGGCGTGCAAGATTATGAAGGTATTCCATTGCTCTAGCAACATCAAGTGCTATTGTAAACCTCTGCGACAAAGACAAAGGCTCCAATTTCAAGTTTTTCCAATGAAAAAGATGCCGGCTTAGAGCACCCAGAGGCATATATTCATAAACCAAAAGCCTTTCATTTCCTTCAATGCAATAGCCTAGCAGGGATACCAAATGTCGGTGTCGGACCTTGGAAAGAACAGCTATTTCAGCTTGAAACTCATCCAATGCTCTACTGCTAGGAGCTCCACACTCCATTCTCTTCACTGCTATTTTGGTAGTATGTTCTATTTCACCCTTGTAAACAGTTCCAAACCCACCACGGCCTAGCTCATTTTCTGAAGCAAAATTGTTGGTGACCTTGCGTAGAACCTGAATAGAGATGGCAATATTGCCAGCCTCAATTACATGAGATCTCTCATTTTCACCACTATTGTTAGTCAGAGAACTTATCCCCGTCTTTGATGATGAGCTTCCAGTGGTGCTATCTGAAACTAAAAATTTAGTCATCTTTTCTGGATAAGATGGATCTTTAGTGTGAACCACAACAGAGCTAGGAGCATCCAAGGAGGCTTTTTCCTTCTTCAAGCAACATATGAAGAGAGAAGCAATCATAAGTGCTACAAGTGTAAAGATAGCAGCTCCAGCCACTATTGCTACTGTTTTGAATCTTTTGAATACATTTGGTTGGGGATTTAACTGAACAGAACTTGACTGATTCATGCTTGAACTATGAGTTGAGGAGGGTGGTTGCATATGTGAGGATGGAGGGGGCAGTGACGGGTTTTGCGGTGAAGGCTCTGCACTTGAAGGTGGTGATGGACTTGCAATAGGCATGGGATTAGGACTACTTACAGGTTGATTGACAAGTAGAGGGTTACCCTCAATAACAACCTTTACATTACCGCGAAAGTATGGCATTGGTGGCTCAACATTGTTATCACTTAAATCCAACAACCTCAAAAAATTCAAATCAGTGAAATTACTCGGAACATTGCCAGTAATATCATTTCCTGCAAGCCTAATTTCAAGGAGTGAATCTAACTTAGCAAGTGAGGGACTTAGTGTGCCATTTAACTTTTGCCTCGGTAAATTGATTATAGATACCTTTGAATTGCGATCGCAGCTTAATCCAAACCATGACCCTCCACACGGATCATTTCCTGACCATTTAGTAGCAAGAGCTGAAGGGTAATTCAGATGATGGAGAAAATCCAGCAGTGCAGTAACTTGAGGAGCACATTCAAGCCCAGGCTTAGATTGACAAAACAAATTGGAATCATAAGATACTTTGGCAGCATTAAACTTTGGTACTGGACCCATGAACATGTTATTATTCAACACAAGTATCTGAAGGTCCATATTTGACAAGGAATCTGGAATCAAACCAACAAGTTGATTGCTATTGAGGTTGAGCTCCTTCAAGGAAGTTAGGTTTCCAATGTTTTGTGGAATTGCCCCAGTGAACTGGTTTCCATGTAGCCAAACCTGATTCAGAAAAGTCATTGAAGCAATCACATCAATAGGACCTGTCATCCCAACTGCTTGATCATTCAACCACAAAACCTGGATTGAAGACTGAGCAAAACTAGCTGGAATTCCACCACTCAATTTGTTGTCTGAAAGCCACAGATTTGTGAGAGAAGGCAATGTGCCTAGGAAATCAGGCAATGGTCCAACCAAATTACAATGCACTAGAGAAAGATTTGTCAATTGCACTGAATATTTCAAGTCCATGGGAAACGACCACCCAGAGGTTGCATTCAAAGGGTTTTCCTCCAAAGACAAAACCCTAAGGTTGGTGAGTCCATTGAAGAAATCAGATGGGATTGAATCAAAATCATTGTAATCCAAAAACGCATATTGCAATTTGGACAATCCACTGAAACTTGGCAACGCTCCACTAAGGTTGTTGCGTTGAAGACCCAAATTTTGAAGCTCTGTGAGTTGGTTAAAGTTTGGAGGCAATGATCCTTTAAGACCTAGATTCTTAGTCTGAATCTGAGTGATTCTCCCTCCAGAACAGAACACATAAGGCCACGAAGGAGGGCCACAAGGGTCATTTCCATTTTCTGGCCATTTGAGAACCTCTGGATTCTTCAGTCTTTTTCTGAAATCATTCAAAATTTGGAGATCATTTGGGTTAGTGTCACCATAACAACCCATTGTGATCATCACGGTGAAAAACATAAAGATGCAAATTTTCACACACCCCATCATGGTCACCTTAACCCTAGAGACAAAACAATAATCAAGGCAGAAACTTCCCCAGAAAACTCACAACCCCATTTGTGTCCAAGATCAACATGTAAGTCCTAGGAACAAAATGAGACATGAACAACAGACTTAGAGGCAAAAGACCAGAACATGTGTGAGAGTGAACATGTCTTTGTGCGAGTGTGAGTGTTTCTTAGTCTTAACGAGAAATGGAAAATTTTAATCTAGGGAAAAAAAAAATGTTGAATGAGCATAGGCTTGAGAAGGGAATGAAAAAACGCCGAAATTTTGAGGTGAGTGAGAATGTGAGATTTAAGAGTATATTAAACTCTTTTTAATCAAAGAAGAAAGGCATAAAAGCGAGTTTCTCTCTCAGTTTGATCAAGTCCACCATTACAGTCACTGTCCATAACTTCCACTCCTTTCGTTTTTTTGCCTCCTTTTATGTAACTTAATTTCATTTCCATGTCATTTGTATTTCTAGCAACGTATTATCCCAAACATATTCTTATAAAATAATCTATAATATATGAGATTAATAAAGGTTATCTTATTTTAGTGTATTTTTTATTTTTATTTTATCTTTTAACTAATTTATTTAAATAATTCATTATTTTAAAATTAGTTTCACATTTATTTTATTTTATTTTTTCATTTTTTTTATGATGAGATACGGAGTGAGTTATTTTCACTAATAATAATAATCTACATTTATATTTATATTTATATAGAGATGATTCTTTATTTTTGTGTATATTTTATTTTAAATAATATTAACTTTTATGATTACTAGTAGATAAGAAAAAGAATGAGAAGTTATTCATAAAAAAGATAGTTATTAAAAAATAAACAAAAAATAAAATAATTTATATAAAAATAAAAATTAAAAAGTAGTTATTAGAAGTGATATTCCTTTATATATTAGTATAGATATAATAATAATTAACAAAATTTTAAAAAATTATATATTAATTTTTTTCTTTAAATATTTTAATAATTATTTATTATGTGTGTTACTACATAAAAGTACAAAGTGACTTTTGACTTTTATCTATTAGTAATAGTAATAATAATAAAATAATAATAATTTTTATTTATAGTCAAACTATTGATTTTCAAATCTAATAAATGCAGTAATTTATAATCGAATAATAATGAAAATACAATATTTTATAATATAATAAGAAAAATTTATAAATAAATAAATAAATTTATATATTGCATTTGACTCTTTTAGAATAAAGATATTTTATTATAAAAGAATAAAAATGTAATAATAATTATTGATTAAAAATTAATAATAAATATTATATTATTTTCGTTCTTTTATATATATAATTTAATTATTTAATTCATTAGTCTATAATAATAAATTTGTTCTATTTATATATATATTTTTAAAGCTATTTTTTAATTAATATTCATATATAATTAATATTTTTTCTAATTAATACTTTTTTTCTCATGACCAATTAGATATAGAGTTAATCACTCATACATTGTCAGGGTAAAATTTTATAGTTATATGTATCCTTCACCAAAAACAATGTACTCCATAGAAATATATATATATATATATATATATATATATATATATAAAAGATCATTATGACCAACAAAAATCTTCTCACC